CTCTCTCTCTCTCTCTCTCTCTCTTTCTCTTTATCCGTACTAGCGAGTGTTTCGCGGTTTATCTTGGAAATCTCGTTACTCGCCCCTAGCCCCCGGTATTCCGCTTCTTCGGACTAATACGTTCGAGAACGGATGAAAATTTAAATGTGCCTTACTCTCGAAATGAAAAGGCACCTTTCTCGATGATACTTTCTTTCCCTCTTAATCAATGAAAACACATTTTTAGTTAAAATGACGATCGGATTTGAAGGGAAAAAGTCACTTACATATACAAACTGACCTCCCAAAGATGTTTGCGTAGTCCCTTGAATTGCTAACGGTCCTTTCATCGGAGCCCCACACTTAATCGAATAAACTTATATAATTGACTCAATTCTTATTTCATTACTATATCGATTCTCATGCAAGATCATTCTTCCAATGCACAATTACAAAGTCGTCCCTCCAACAATACAGCCTCTTCGACGCATCACGTCATCAACGTCAACTACACATCGTCAACAAATATCTCATTAATAAGAAAAATAGGAGAAAGTGCCTTGTTTCGGTTCATCTTGCGTTGCAAATCAATGACGAATGCAATGAATTTCAGTTGGAAATAAATGTTCGCTTCCTTATGGTCGTAAAGATCTATGAAAAAAAAAAAAATATTTCCTCCTGCCCGTACACTTGCCACCCAACATTAATAACACGTAAAACCCAAGGAGCTCCCAAGCCCTCGGCGTTGAATTATTTGGCTGTTCAACGTATCGCGAGCGCATATTACATCCTCCCAAAAGGACATTATAAGACAGTCCCGTTCATCTCCAGGTCCTATAAATTCGAACAAACGGATGAAATATCGAGGCGGTAATGGCGATGAGCTAGCTCGCGCCAACGCCCGGTCCGTGTTTCTCGAAGCTTCCAATCGCCGCGCGACAACATTTCCCAACCGCGACGACGGCACCCGTTAATCACCCTTAACCCTCGTACATCCCCACGTCCACCTCCTACATTACGTACGACTTCGCGAGGCTACGTGGACCAATTAATATGCGGCTTATCGAAGGAAATCGGCGGCTAAAATAGAAGCCTCCTAGCAAGGCCCTGGATTCCGTCCAGCTGCCCGCTCCTGCCTCTCCTACCCTCGCACTATCTATCTAACCGCACCACCCCGTACCATCCCTTCTCGTCACCCGGTGCTCATTCCCCACCTTCCCCACCTTTCCCTCCCCTCCCACGATATCACCATCCCGTTCGTGCCACCCTTGTGTTTTAACGCGGGTGCCGTCGTGAAAAAGGCCATGCGCTTTACGAGGCGCCATGAATCCTCGCTCTCCAACGGATGAATGAAAATCTCTCTTACGGTGATGTATTATTGGTTTCTCCGTTCCCCCGAGATATGCCGTCCGACTGGGACGTAATTTTCTCTCTCCCACTCGAGCGACGTCGCGCTCCAGTAACGTCCCGTAATTGGGATTTGTCTTGGCATCCGCCTCGTTTGCCGCATGCCTTTACGTAAAATAACTTTCGCACGCGGCGATATCGAGCACGGCATTTTATTTCGACTCTTACGTCTAGAGTCGACAATGGCAGAACATGATACTTTGCAACATATGCGAGAAAAAGTATGGCGGTTAATTCTTCACGATTGCGTAATAATAATGGAGGCCCATTCGAGGGCACACCGAGACACAATGCCATACAAATTCAAACGTTTACAAATTGCTTTCCAGCATTCATAACTTTTGTCCCTATAATAAATTATTATGAATATTATGATTATTTATATTATTATTTATATTATTATTGTTATTGGTATTGTTATTATGGCTCAATTAAAATCTCATTGCCGATAGATGAGGATAGTTGATATTATTTAAGCTCCGGCCAGTTCGGATGAGATGTACTTTGAAATGTAATACCGAGAAGATGCGTAATCATAAAAATGATAGATCGAGTGGGAAAGAAAATGTACGTGTGATAAATTGATAGGATTGCGCGTGCGATAAATTTTGGGTGTGAGCCCGCGAGCGCGTCAATAAGAATAAGGAATTCAAGGCAATTACTGGTATATAAGGAATTGATGCGTGAGTAATGCAATAATAAGCGTGTGTGACAATGCGCGGTATCGGTAAAAGTCGATAATTCGTGAATACGACAAGCGGCGAGAAAAGCAGTCGCATGGATAAACCTCGTGGCGCTCGTTACGTAAGCCGTGCGCGCGCACGATATAAGCTTTGATTATATTGATGCATGGAGCAGACGGTGCTCGAAGATGTCGCGTAATACCTCGATCGTCAATTAGCCGAGATGGATAGATGGATAGATGGATAGATGGATAGATGGATAGATGGATAGATGGATAGATGGATAGATGGATAGATGGATAGATGGATAGATGGATAGATGGATAGATGGATAGATGGATAGATGGATAGATGGATAGATGGATAGATGGATAGATGGATAGATGGATAGATGGATAGATGGATAGATGGATAGATGGATAGATGGATAGATGGATAGATGGAT